AAGCATCAAGCACACAATTCATTCAAAATATGCTCTCCCATTCTAATAAAGTCACCACTTCTATGGCGGGAGTATTTTCTTAGAGCGTAAAATTCGCGCTGCTGCAAACGAAGACACTACCGAACTTTATGAAATCGGGCGCTGGGATCCCGTCAATATACCTACCTACGATGGAATTAAACGCGTTAAAACAACTTTGCACGTAATAGCCGTTTCCTTTAGCCAATGCCCAATGACGTCATATTCATTCCCCGGCGTTTATAAGACTGCCCCCCCCCCCAGCACCGCACGAGGAAAGAGAGAGAGAGAGAGAGAGAGAGAGAGAGAGAGAGAGAGAGAGAGAGAGAGAGAGAGAGAAGAGAGAGAGAGAGAGAGAGAGAGAGAGAGAGAGAGAGAGAGAGAGAGAGAGAGAGAGAGGGAGAGAGAGAGAGTTTGGTGTTTTGCAAATTTTACATTGTTGACCTTGCGTAACGTCATTTATGACGTCATTGAGGCCATAAGTTTTTCGTCAATAGCTCCCGATCAAATTGGGCTAGCGAGTCGGGAAAACCACCATTCACCAATGCAGTGGAAGACCTGTCGAATCAAATGATATGCGATATCACCTCCTTTAACCAACTTCGTGACCAGGGACTCTGACCTGTCCTTGATCTGAGGTCAACCTCAGTTGACCTCAACCGAACAAAACGTATGCCTACCATTCGACACCTCTGAGCGAGGCGAAATAAACGATTATGCAAAAATCGCGGCTCTGCGGCAATTTTGCGGTTATTTATCAAAAACCGATTTCTTGCCTTGGGCTATATTACCTGACCCTGACCTGGTTAACGCGTTATAAGTTTCCTCGGCGAACATTATTGTTTATTAGGCGTCTACCAAAGATGAACTATCCAAAGTTCTCACTTTATGAAAATAATGTAAAATTTCCTTTTTATTTCAATTTTGTTTTTCTTTCTGATCAATTAAAGGAAAACTGAAACAAAACATTAAAGTAGCAAAAACAAAAATGACGAGTGTATTTTTCTGTCACAAATTTCCAGGAGTGATTTTGCAGCGATAGTAGCTCGGCATCGTTTACTTCGATCCGGATATTGTTGTTCAATGGTGGCCTCTGCGAACTTAGAAAAGCTGTTTATGGTCATAAAGGCCTGCATTGGCACACTATTATCACGATGTGTTTAGCCAGATGTTTTTCTTCAACGCTCACTTTTGGCTCAGACACGTCGCTAAACGTGGCACCCGTAGCAAACGTGTCAAACGTGGCAAAACTTCACAGTCCCTACGAACCCTCATCAGCACTCGTTGGCTTGGTGTGTGACTCCTGTCCTTTGGCCGAGACAGCCGCCAGCCTATACCGCGCGCCGCGCGGCGCACCCCTCCTTAGCGGGCGGGGGAGCGCACCACGCGCTCCCCGCCCACACCCCTCCCTCCTTCCCGAGGTCGTGTCACGAAGGTTCGGGATTATGCTACTATCAGCCACTGCGTAGCTGCCGCCCAGCGCATGGGAATGCATGGTTTGGTCCGGATTCAGCCAACTACCGGCTCGCGACACCAGCGCCGCGTGGTGGCGAGGGGACATTCTTTTTAGATATACTATACAGTCCACGGCATAAGTAATGTGCGGTTTCAGTCCTGGGTATGTTCTGCTTCTGAAGCTTAGGAATGATTAGCCAGACCACAATGAAATTTTAATGTAGCTAACCTGTATCGTTACCCTTGCAGCTGCAACTTTATCTATTGACGTCTTCTTTTCGACCACTCCGCATTAAAAAATCGCCAGTCAAAGCCATCAGTTGAGATTGGTAAAACCGCACATTACCGGGTCATTCAGAATAAAGGCACACATTTGTTTTCTTCATAGAAGTGCAACAGCAAAAATACTGCATGCGCACGTGCTTATTTTTTACTTATCAATAAATGCTATTTTGTTTTGACTGGTCAGTGAGAAGTGTTGAAGATGCTGCCATTCACACCAGACCAAAGAACACAACTCGTCAAATTCTACCTGGAAACAAAATCAGTCGTTCTCACCCAGCGCAAATGGAAGAAGTGTTTCCAGGCAAGAAAAGCACCCTCTCGGAAGGCCATCCTGAGCCTGACCGAGAAGTTCTTGGCAACTGGGAGCCTAGAAAACAACAAAAAGGGCAGATGCGGGGCTAAGCGCACCAAACGGACCCCAGCAACCGCCCAAAAGGCACGACAAATTTTGACATCAGCCCCCAAAACGTCCCTAAAGCAGCTCAGCCAACAGCTGCGTTGTAGCTACAGCACCGCACAACGAATTGCGCGCACTGACTTGAAGTTGCGTCCGTACAAGATAAGTATCCATCAGAAACTTCGTGACTGTGATGAAAAAAGTCGCAAACGCTACTGTGCTTGGTTTAGCAGGAAATGCCACACTTCAAGTCGGTTCATCGAGAACATCTGGTTCTCAGATGAAGCGCACTTCCATTTGGACGGGCGTGTTTTAACAGCCAAAATTACCGCTACTGGGGTACTGAAGCACCAACTGAGGTAGCAGAGAGGCCGTTGCACAGTAAGAAATGCACGGCTTGGTGCGCGATCAGTGCGCAGGGCATTTCCGGACCCATTTGGGTGGAAGATAGCGATGGTAACGCCGCAACAGTCAACGCGGCGCGGTACCGCAAGATCCTGCAAAGATTTTGGAATGGTCTGCGCACTCGCTATCGCCACGCACCGGACCGGCTGAATGTACAGTGGTTCCAGCAAGATGGTGCGCCACCTCATCGTGCAACAGAGACCAAGGCCTGGCTCCAGGACCATTTCCAGGACCGCCTGATTGCAAAGGGGGTCGGCATCGAGTGGCCCCCTCACTCTCCGGATTTAACGCCACCAGATTTTTTTCTTTGGGGTCATCTGAAGTCGGAAGTTTACAAGAATGGACCCAAGACCATCGTCGAACTCAAGAAAGCCGTAGAACAAGCGGTGAGACGAATCCCTGTCGCAACATGCCGCGCCGTAATGGAAAGCGCTCGTAAAAGAGCTGAGCTGTGCCTTCGCGAAAACGGTGGTCACCTGGAACAAGTACTATAGATGGCCAGCTGTAGTTCTCTGACGTCAGCCGCTGATATCCAGCAAAATAGCATCGATTTGCGAATGTTTTGGCGCCTCTTTTACCAGTATGCGATAAAAAATACAGGCTTGAGACAAAAAAACAAATGTGTTCCTTTATTCTGAATGACCCTGTACTTTAGCGGTGGGCTGTACCTGCCTTCTGCTGGATAAATATTTCATTGGTTGGACGAAATAGGCAGGTAGCCTTTTTTTTAGAAATTTTGTCCGAATGGATGAGTGGTTGGCTACGGGCCCGGGTGCCCCGCTAAGCAGTGTTTGTTGCGAATGACACCACGGACCCACCACCCCGCCCTGCCCGCGCCCGGCTCACCGGTGATAATTTGGATCGAAAGTTTAACGTGCCGCAGGTAGATGGCGGCACGGTCCTCCCGGGTCTAGCGTGGCCCTCTCTCGCCAGTTGCCAGCTGGCTTAACCCTCGCCCGCACATGCCATTTTCCCATCCTAGAACGCACATGGGGGGTGGTTGCCACCCCCCCCGCGCCATTTCGTTCCTGTTGGAGATAGAGCTTAGCGGTAAAGACCAAAAATATTCTTTGGGAAGAGACAAATCCAATGATATCCAGTTTTACCTTCTCAGGTCAGTCATTGACCTTCCAGGTCAGGTCAAACTAAAAAATTTGCTGTTTTGGGTCACCGTTGGATATCAAGTGCGCTGCTTATCATATACCGATGACGATGCCGTTTTCTGGTGCCAAGCCAGCTAGAACCTCTTTGTCACACTACCCGACCAGGTTTTTGCTGCTGAGGTCATTTCAGGTCAAGTTAGGTCAAGGTCAATTATATGTGTTTGTATGTCTGTGTGTGTCTGTGTGTATACTGATGTGTGCACCGATTGTTTATGTGTCCATATTACATGAAATCATGATCTGAGAAGCTTTTACCAAAAATGCAGTCAAAAAACATCACAAAAAGTAAATTCCGCTTGCCAAAAACGCAATTATCTTAAATGACCTAGGTTGACCTTGACCTTGACCTTGACGTCTGTACATCGTCGAACATGTTCCATGATAGGTGGGAGGTAAGACTGGCAAAAAAGGCCAAAAGCAAGGTGTCAAAAGCTCACAAGGCCGATAACCAACGCAAGATGTTGAGAATTGGCCATTTGGGTCATGGCATGACCTGAAAAACAAGGTCATATCTCCGAAACCAAAAACCACAGAAACTTGAAATTTTCAGTGGACATCAAGAAAAAGTAGAGGTGCAGCTATACGAAAAATCAGCCTCCTAGCTCTAAAAATGTTGAGTGCAGAGCAGAAAGACTACCTGGGGGGTGGCAACCCCCCCATGTGCGGGCGAGGGTTAATATAGGAACGCGGGTCAAACGACGTGGAGCTTCCCGGCCGCGAACTCGCTGCCACCGAGTTAGGAGACGTACGCCTTATCCACTAGGCCACGGGGAGGACTTATGATAATGTTATGTGAAACTTTATTTCTATAGAACTTAGAAAATGAAGTTCTAATTATATGCATATCTGCATACATTTTTCGTGACTAAGAAAGTTTTGCACAAGAGTAGGTAGTATGAGAAAGTCTATAAAATGACACATTCTGAAGGCTCAATGCTGACAGAGTGTTGCCTCAAAGAATAACTGACTTGCTGGGTTACGAATATTTATTTATTTTAATTATTAAATGTAATGTACAATACATTGCAGTGAAATAACAAAATAGTGCAATAAAATAGGATTGGTGACGATCAAACAACACGCGCGCCATTGATGTCTGCAGAAATTGCTACCAGCTTGCTACCAAATCCGTGACGTAGCTACGGCGCCTTTTGTTTCCCTAGTGAACCAACCTGAGTAGTAAAGTAATTTTGGGCCCGGCGACTGTAGGGCCCGGCGCGCCGTTCAGCTCGCTCGGGTCTGACAGCTCGCCGAGTCCGACTGATAGCTGCACCTACCGGTGAGGCTGCCAGCTCCGTATCCAGATGGCTCTTTCTGGCAGTCAGAAGGTCCAGCTGGTGCTGAGTGGCCTCGACGGCGGCCTGCAGCTGAGCGCTGCGCTCTCGCAGCGCCGAGTAGCGCTGGCGCACCTCGGCAGACATGGCGTCTACCAGGGTATCAGCCAGACGCCGCTCCTGGCGGCGGCACCGACACACGTCACACGTCACAGTGGCAGTCGCCTTGTGACAAAAGTACCAATCTCATTGCCTCAAATGCCCGAGAATGCATGAGCTTGCGATGATGAACAGCTTATCAAAAGATGTGTCACCACTTAACCCGCGCCCCGTAGGGCTACCGGCGGACCCTACCACCCGTAGGGGGGCCGTTTCGGCCCCCCCCTAAGATCTCGGAAAGTTACCGGCCGATTTTCAAAATTCAAACGGCGTTCGATAGCCCCACCCGGGAACTACCTTGTGACCAAGTTTCATTGACCTAGGTCAAACCGATGACGTCACAGGTCAGGTCAAAGGTCAGATTTTCACCGTTCACAGGCAATTCAAGAAATGTGCTGTGAAAGCGAGTAAATTGGTAATTTATTGAAAACCATCGATGGTACATTGTTCGTCAAACACATACTTTGCTATCTGAGGTCACTGATACCAGGTCAGGTCACAGCGAGGTCAGGTCACCGGGGGTCACAATATGAATGTGTCGTGTGATACATGTTTTATGGTCCATTTTACATGACAAATGCGATTATGTGGGTTAGGCAGCCTTTGGGGCCAGCCTAGGTCACGTTTTGGTGAAGGTCAGGTCAAGGTCAGGTCAAATTAGGTCAAATTTCAAAGTTGATATTTTTGCATAAAATGGGTATCGATTCGATGCAGCTCGTCACGGGGAGTCTAATGGTGGTCTTCGTTTTGCTCTACGAGTTCTAGAATTGCCAAAAATTGAGTTTGAAAATTTGACGTCATCATTTTTGAACAGTTTTTTTTCGCTATAACTTGGCCAAAAAACGAGGTATCGATCTGAAATTAGGTATGTGGATAGAAGACGGTAGGCACTATCACATATATTCCGATTTTTTCGAAACTCAAAAAACTTTTTGGATTTTTTGGCGAATATATCCAAAAAAATGCTTTTTTGATTTTTGGGGGTCAAACTCAAAAATTTCAAAAATTCGAGATAGCAGTTTTGTAGCCCTGTCAATTCTACACCTTTTATGTCTGATCATTTTTCTGTATCTTCAAAGCTGTAGTCCTGACAGGTCTTCTCGCGAAGGTCTTTTTTCGGTCGAAAATGACAGAACATGACGTCACTCTGACGTCATTTGTGGCCAACCTATCATAGCCTCTGGAAAAATTTTTATTCACAATGTGTAAAATTGATGCCCGGAAAGGTCCTGAAAGTTTGGTGGCGATATCTCCAGCCGTTTAGGAGATATCGACCGAAAAGGACAGGGGGGGCCGTTTCGGCCCCCCCCCCCCCTACGGGGCGCGGGTTAACCCGCGCCGTGCTGGGGGGGGGAGGGGAGGGAGGCGTTTTCACGCCCTCCCCTCAGGGGTTTTCGTGAGCGGTTTTTGAAAAACCTGTTTATACATCTTATTTGCACATATTAAAATTTCAGGCCCAGGTCATTCAAGGTCAGGTCACCAGATCATGTCAACTGACCTTATCCTTATCAAAAGTTTCAATGGTTGCTATAGCTACACTGACTGAACGATCACTTTGAAACTTTCAGCATTGATAAGAGAAACAATATGTATAAAGTATATCTCTCGGAATTTTGATATATGTGACCTAAGGTCAGGTGAATTATGCGACCTCCCCAGTCGTGTCGGGTCACGGCCGGCCGGCCGCGGACCATTTTCAGAAGTAGTGGGCAGACCGTGCGTCGAGTACTTGCCTACTCGCGCGAGGGTACTGTTTTTTTTCAAGTTGAATGTTGATTCAACATCAGCACATCATATAAAGGGCACTCACGACCGTCTGATCAGGGATCTCCCGGACCATGCTCTCTCCAGCAAGTGTTCATCGCCGAAATCTGCCACGGATTCATCGCTTTTTTAACATAAGGTTCACAAAGGTGCAATATACAAGCTCATCCTTCAGATCCATGTAGCAGCTCATCACCCTCATGTGTCACTACACAATAGCACCTATATACAGTGGCGTATACAGGGGGGGCCATGGGGGCCATGGCCCCCCTTTCCGCCCAGCCGCCCAAATGGCGCCCCAATTAGCGCCGACTAGGCTGATGCCGTTTTACAGAGAGAACATGAATTAAAAAGTGATGTGCAGGCAGGGATCGAACTCAATATCTCTTTGGGGGTGCCTGGACACCTAAAGGTTCTCCAAGGCACCCCCAAATACGACCTGAGCCCCCAAATGTTGAAGGGCACCCCTCCGGATACCAGAATATTCCGAACCCCCGGGGTCGATGGCGCCCCTGAAGAGCCGCTGGCACCCATCTGAACGGAACAGTCGCCCCATTAAAGCTTGATGGCGCCCCTCTAGAGCACCCGGCGCCCCTCTGAAGTTCACAGCTGCCCCAATCGACCCATCTAAGATCGATGGCGCGCCCTGAAACCACTGGCGCCCCTCTAAAGCACCCGCATTCTTCTCAAGATCACAGTCGCCCTAACCGAGATCAATAGCGCCCTCAAGAGCCACTAGCGCCCCACCCCCTTGAGACTGAATTCGTCCCGCTTGAGACTTCTCGCCCCGTTGGGGGGGCTATTTTGGCCCCCCCCCCTGTGGTTTTTCCTGAAAAGCAAGAAAACGGCGGCGCGCAGCGCCGCCAAATTTTCAGTACCTTCCCGGGCATCAATTTGACACCTTCACACCAAATTTCAAGTCTTAGGTCACCTTAGGTCAGGAATTATTGAGGTCAAACTTAGGTCATGTTCGAGCAAAAATGAGCATAAAACATGCAATCTTGAAACGCTCACCAAATCTACAGTTATCAAGCAATTTCAAAGTTCTTTATATGGTCTGGTAGACAAAAAGCGGCGCTACAAAACTGCTATCTCGGATTTTCAAAATTTTGGGTTTTTGACCCTCAAAAATTCAAAAAATTGATTTTTTTAGAAAAACTAAAAAAATAAAACAAATTTCCGAATTTCGAAATAACCGGAATACATATGATAGTCCCTGCGCTCTTCTATATACATACCAAATTTCAGATCGATATCTCGTTTTTTGGCCAAGTTATAGCAAAAAAACTGTTCAAAAATGATGACGTCAAATTTTTGAACTCAATTTTTAGCGATTCTAGACCACGTACGGCAAAACAAAGACCACCATTGAACTCCCCGTGACGAGCTACATCGATTCGATACCCATTTTATGCAAAAATATCAACTTTGAAATTTGACCTAATTTGACCTGACCTTGACCTGACCTTGACCTGACCTTGACCAAAACGTGACCTAAGCTGTCCCCAAAGGCTGCCTGACCCACATAATCGCATTTGTCATGTAAAATGGACCATAAAACATGTATCACACGACACTTTCATATTGTGACCCCCCAGTGACCTGACCTCTGTGACCTGACCTGGTATCAATGACCTCAAATAGCAAAATATGTGTTTGAAGAACATTTCCCCATCGATGGTTTTCAATGAAATGCATTTTACTCGATTTTACAACGCATTTCTTGAAATGCCTGTAAACGGTGAAAATTGGACCTTTGACCTGACCTGTGACGTCATCGGTTTGACCTAGGTCAATAAAATTGGGTCACAAGGTAGTTCCCTGATAGGGCTATCCAACACCGTTTGCCGCTTGTCGCTAGGTTGCGTGGTTCTCGAGATCTTAGGGGGGGGCCAAAATGCCCCCCCCCCCCCAACGGGGCGCGTTGCTCGGCAGAGCCCAACGGGGCGCGGGTTAAGTCGCCCCATTCAAGCCCAATGACGCCCCTCCAGAGCGTCCGGCGCGCTTCTGAAGATCGCGCCCATCTAAACGAAGGTTACAGCTGCCCCATCTTAAGATCGATGGCAACCCTCTGAAACCAATGGCGCCCTTCTAGGCTACCCGGCACCCCTCTGAAAATCACATTCGCCCCATCCGAGACAACGCCCCTGGAGACTACAGTCGGCCCACCCAAGCTCAAGCCCCTCCAGCGCCCTGCTGAAGGCAACAGTGGCCCCATCCATGCCCAATGGCGCTCCTCAACGCCGTTCTAAAGATCACAGTCGCCCCATCAATCCGAGGTCGCTGGCGCCCCTCAAGAGCCACTGGCGCCTACCTGAACCGGGACTTCAGTCGGCCCATCCTTGATCAATGGCGCCCCTCTGAAACCACTGATGCTCCTCTGAAAATCCCAGTCGGACCATCCGAGATCAATGGCGCCCCTCCAGAGCGTCCGACGCCCTACTGAAGGCAGCAGTGACCCCATCCAAGCATTGCACCCCTCTAGAGCACCCGGTGCCCTTCTGAAGATTACATTCGCCCTATCCGAGGTCGTTGATGCCCTCCAGTAGTCACTGACGCGAAACTGAATGGAGACTTCGGTCGCCCTGCCCCATTCAAGATTGATAGCCCCCCCCCCCCCGAAACCACTGACGCTAGGCAATTATTGGACAATGGGGAATCGAAAGGAACCGGGAAGGACTGCGTAGCGTCGTTGACGCGATTCAGCTAGCTGAGATGCAGAACATTCCCCTTCGAGGGCATCGCGATGACGGCAAGATCGATCCGTCTGGCGATTACCCGAGTTCAAATGACGGTAATCTGCGAATGCTTCTCCGTTTTCGCCTTCAGGGTGGAGACCTGGCGTTGAAGAGCCATCATACTCATTGTCCAAGCTCGGCAATGTACACAAGTAAGACAGTCCAAAACGAAATACTTGAAGATATGTCTACACTCATCAAAGAGAAGATATCTGATCAGGTTGCAGAATCGCCACTGTGGGCTCTGATGGTGGATGAGACCACCGATGCTGCGAACCGAGAGCACCTCGCCGTGGTGGTTCGCTACCTATCGCGTGACTCTGGAACGATCGTTGCCAGGGAGGACCCGGTGACCCTGGTGGACGCCTTCGCGGAACTGGACGTCCGTGAAGCGGAAGAGGCGCGACTGTCCGGAAAAAAAAAACTTGGCTGAAGTGGTCCTCAAAACTGTCGACCGTGTCCACCTAAACACCGACAACATGGTAGCTCAGTGCTATGACGGGGCTGCAGCGATGTCGA